ATGAAATTATTGTGAAGGAGACTATTGAACCAAATAGATAGGTTCAAATACATGAAATTAAATTTTAGAATTCAAGAGACTAAGACTAATTTCTTAAAAATAAATAAATAAATAAATAAATAAATATAAAATAAAATAAAATAAATACTTAGGTGTTAAAGTATGAGTGAAAATTGTGTTAATAATATTATTGACACATTGGGATATGATCAATTGTAGATTAATTTTCTTCTGACACCATTCAAGCTTTGGAAAGCTTTGGAAGTGTTGTAACTTGAGGGGTAACCATTGACCTCTCAAAGGTTGAGGTAACCGAGGGAAATCTATTTTATGCATTTGTATGTTAATTAATTAATTATGTTAGTGAAACAAAAGAATATATATATATATATATATATATCTAAATTTGAAATAGTTATTTGTAATGCATGTGACTTTGTTAAGACTTTATGACTTGTGAGTAATGAGATTGATGGTTGATGATTATGTGTATACTCTTGGTTATAAGTTGTGGATTATGCACAGTGATGAAAGTTGATGAGCATGTGGGATAATTTTGAAATATATATATATATGAGTTTTTGAAATACATTTTCTTATGAGCATGATCATATGGCGGGAGTTCGCCTTAGTGAAGGAGTTAGCGGTTATGCAAAATCCATATGGTACTTGGCTATTAACCAATAATCCTAGGGGTTATAGCCGCTACTTACCTTATAAGGTACTGTAGCATTGTTCCTATTAAGGGACTTGACCCTACTGGCCTACCTGGAGTTTTGGGTAGAGCTAGTTTTGGGTATGACACCCCATAATGTGTGATTTGGGGGAAACCGTGTTCATAAGTGAGTAAGGTAACCCTGGCCCAGTAGCCCCTCATGATATGATTAAGGCTTTGGGTAGTCTCACCACATGGATGATCCCTTCCGGTTGTTGGCCCACGGATTTCATGTCAGAGGAAATAAGGGGGGATATAAGGAAGAGATTGATCATGCATATTATTATTATCATGCCATTTGAGTGATTGATGGCTATGTTGAGAATATGATTATAATTGTAGAAATGAGAACATGTAGTAATTATGCGAATAATGTATATGTGGCTATTTGTGCAAATTTTATACTTGACTTTATTCTTGAAATTATTCACATGAGTTAAATGTTAATGTGATTAACATGTTATTAATGTGATTGTTTGAATGGTCACCTTGATAAATTTATTGGTCACTTGCATTCATGATTAATTATCATGCATTTGTATAACTTAGATATACCTTAGTTACTGAGTGGTTGTACTCACCCCTCTCTTTTAACATATTACAGGAGCTAGCTCGTCTGAGAAGAATAGGAGAAAGGAGCATTAGGCCAAGTGATAATAATCACTTCTGTAGGCCTCTCTCCTTTTATTTGATATATGTATTTAGTTTATGATATTGTCATCTAGGATAATATATTCTTGATCCACTTGCATTATGGGTTTTGTGTTGGGAAAAATATATTTTGGGCCCTGGGGAATGTGGTTTGATGCTTGTGCTATAATTACGGGCCAAAATATTTGTGCAAATAAAAATAGTTATTTTCATGCTTCCGCATATGTTTAATTAAATGATATGAGTTCTTAAAATATTTTAAAGATTTAGGATCCCTTTGTATTAAATAGTTTGTAAAAAAAATACATGTTAAGAATTCATTTAGGTTAATCTCGTAATGAATAATCCATTTGGGTTAGTTCTTGATTAACCATGATTAGTGTGATGATTAAGTCCTAATTTAGGATGCCCTTTACATATATTATAATCACTATATGGAAACCTAGACCAAACCAGCCGATTCAAGCAATGAACTATGACCTGGTCTCTTTTTCAGTCTGGGTTTTCACCTAAACCAGCCATCCACTGACCCGAGGTTAAATCAGGATAACCCGACTAGCCTAGTAGCAGAGTTGCTAAGTCAGTTGGGTCACTTTTTTAATTTTTTTTGTTTTTATTTTTTTAAATTGTAAAAAATAATAAAAAGTAAAAAAATTTAACTTGAAAATTAAAAAAGCGAGGCAATGGAGGGCAAGAAAATTAAGCTATATTTCATTGTCTGTAGTTTGAACTTCAAATAGAGGGTCTTAATTGTATGTTCAAACTTAAAGATTCAGTATTATTTTAAGTTAATTGTGCATTAATTGTTTTAATCTTCTATTATTTGCTGCTGTTCATTTGTTTGATTGTTACTTAGCATTTATGAATTATGACTGTCATTGTTAATGATTTTAGTGTTAGTGATAATTAGTTTTGAACTTTTTAATGATTGAAGGGTTGTAAATTGTAATTGTAAGAATGAATATTTAGAAAGTTATATTTTATTATTGTTATACTTTTGGGTGGTTATAATTCTATAATTATTGTTGTATTTGTATCTTGTATTAGAGATTAATCTTAGATTTGGTTGAATATTTTCATGATTGATGTCTTTTTATTTAAATTATATTATTTTAATCATGATCGATTTGCCCTCCAAGTTGACCCCAAGTTCAACTCAGGCTGAACCACTAACCTATAACTCATTGGCTTGACTAATTCAATGACCGATTCGGTTTTCAATACCTTAATTATAATTATTGTTTGAAAATTTGAATGACTCTTAAATAATATTTATGCTAAATAAAGGTATTTTAGGCCAAAATGTATGATTTAATGGTTAATTAACAGTTAAATGTATGGTAATGGAATTTTTTAAATAAAGGATAGGTATGTGTTCTGTAAATTTTTATTTCAAGAGAGGTTTATGTAGATTTTAATAATAAAAGAGAGGTATCTATAATTAAGATAAAATAGAAGGAAGGTTGATGTATTTTACTCTATTAACATTAGCTCTATAATAAATACTTCCTTTATTTAAAAATATAAGATATTTTTTTGAAAGCTGGATGTTAAAAAATGTAAGGTATTTTTAGTTTTTTGAGTTGTAATTATTATCTTTTTTTTTTAAAGTATTCCGATTAATGAATGACTTTATATTTATTATAAAATGTTTAACAAGAATAAATATAAAAAAATAGGATTAATTTGAAAGTAAATAACTACTTTATTGAGGAGTGAGATTTAGTTAAATAGTTTGAAAGTAGATAACTACTTTATTGAGAGTGAGATTCAGTTAAAAATGTTTTATATTTTTAAGCAAATAGAATAGATTTCATTTTATTATATTGCATTAGCTTAGCTCATTGTAACTTCGGCTCTCAATCCCATCTACTTTTATAATTAATACAAATTCATTGCCATAGTTACTACATTTTTTTTATTTCTATTTCTATTAATTTGAGTAAATTGTGGATAAAATGATGAGTTCTTATATTTTTATAGTCGAATTTACAAGCAAGTTGTACCTTCAAGTCAGGCGTGCTGGAAAGGCAAAGATATTTGCAATTTTTTTTTTTTTTCAAACTTTGGATAGAAGATCTGCAATTACAATGATATCTTTTTCTCATACCAATAAAATTAAAAATAAATTTTTTTATATGTATTAAAAAAAAGAAAATTTTTATTTAAGAAATTAGCTATGAGATGTGACAATACTACTGTAGATAACTTTAAAAATTAAATTTTCTCTAAAAAATGAAAGACATGAGACATGGTTAGTATTTTTCCCGGCTTCATTGTTGATACTTTTTTTATTTAATTATTGGTACTGCAATATTTTTTGTTGAACAAGGCTTAGGTTAGTCGCCTCTCAATCTCAATGATCTCCAAAGTCATTGGATGTTTACAGACTTAAAAATGGCTATAGAGATATTTAAAATTATCCACCAATAAGAAATTCAAAACCAACGAAAATTAAATCTAATGGAAGGGCTAATTCTTTACAATATGGTGATTTAATATTTGAATCTATGTTGAAAGAGATACTGCATTTTAATATTTAATTGTGTCTCAAATATAATTGCTTCTAATAAAATGATACATGTGTGTAAAAAAAATGATATTCACATTAGCAATGAAATTTGAACCTACAAGTTAATTAGTTAGTTATAAACTTATAATATACTCCCTCCGTCAATGATAGAGTCAGAATCCAAAGCCAAAGTGTGCAGGATAATTTAATAAAAAATTAATATATTTTTTAAAATAATAATAATACTATAAGACTAAAATTATAGTAATATAAATAGATTGTTTATCATTTTTCCTTAAAAATTATATTAAACAAGTCAATATGATCTTTAATGTAAATATGCTCTTTATATCGTATGTAAATAATTAAACTATTTTATATCTAATAAGTTTTTGAATCTAAATATTTTTTATTTAATTTAGAGGGTGCAATATATCAAGAGTAGAGGGTACATAATTGCAAAATTCACATCACATACTTGTAATATTTTCCAAGTAAGGGGGTGCATTTGCTCCACTCACTATCATGTAGCTCTATCAGTGCCCTCTATCTCAAATTATAAAATACTTTTAAAAAAAATTTAGCATCTTAAAATATAAGATACTTTAATAAAAATTTATTAACAATATTTTTTAAATATTACCCTTTCTATATATTCTCTCTCTTCAATATTATTTTATCAATGGAATATTAAATGAAGGATATTTTTAAAAATTTATATTTTTATCTTGAAAAAATAAAATTAAAAAATATATTTAATGAGCTTTATTAATATATGAGATTTTGTTTAAAATTATTTTATAATTTAAGACGAATGGAGTAATATTCTTCATATTATGAGAGTATTTTAAATTTATAAATATTTAAAATGTGCATAATAATTTATATTAAAGTATGTGTATGTATATATGAAGTTTGCTTGTTTCGATGGCAATACTGTGGTTTCCTTGTGCAGCATGGAAAGGAATATTAGAAAGATGAAGAAGCAGAATAAAGTGAAAATGTGAACAAAACAAAAGCAACTTTATTGTGCAAAATTGTACAGCTAGCCAATTGGGTCTCTTGTATGCATTTATCATATCATATATTATCCCCCAAATCTGTCTTCATCTTTATTCCTTCTCCTTCTTCTTCTTCTTCTTCTTTGTCCCTTGTCTCTGTACTTCATTTTCTGAGAGAGGAACAAACATTAATGGCGGTCAAAGGCAAAAACTATGGCTTCCTCATCTGCATATTTGTGATGATCATTGATGTTGTTGCTGGCATTCTTGGAATTCAAGCTGAAATTGCTCAGAGCAAGGTACTCTAATGACTCCCCAAAAATTCCTATATCGATCTTTTGTTTTTAATTTTCTTCAAAATTATTTACTATGGTTAATTATGAATGATGTAATGATTTGAAACAATACATGGATAGTTAGTTCTTCACAGAATCCAATGGTATCGTGTGATTCATGTTACTATGTTTGATAACTAAGATTGTAATATATTTTGATACGATGAAATTAAATAGATGAAGCATGTGAAGATGTGGATAGTAGAGTGTAGAGATCCGAGTTTCAAAGCTTTCGAGTTAGGATTGGCTGCAACGATTCTATTGGCTGTTGCTCATTTGATTGCTAACTTGTTGGGAGGCTGCGTTTGTATTTGGAACAAGCAACAATACTTAAGAGCCTCTGCCAACAAGCAGCTTGGAATGGCTTTCCTCATTTTCTCATGGTACTTTAATCCCCACACCTTCTCTTTCTTTTTTTTTAAATAAAGAAAATTATAGTCAAATATTTTTTTTATTTAAAGAATGGATAAATAATGATGTGTAAATAAATTTAAATTTTAAAATTATTTTTTTGAGAATTAGATTTATTATATACCAAAAAAAAACAATTCTCACTTTAAGCATGACTATGTTTGACTCAAAAGATTTCAATACAAGTAATCATTTATATAGTCAAAACAAATTCCCTCTATTTTTCATAAATTCCGATTCTCATTTAATTTGCTACTCTTAGATCTATCAGGTCATAAATTAGAGACCCTAACATTATGAAATTTTAGAAAAAGACTATAGTCCTTAGTTGGGGTTAAAATTTTTCTGATTGAATATTTTTTTTATTATTCAGTTTTACATTTTCATTAATTATTACTCATCTTTTACATTTTCAATAGTCATCTTTATAACATTTTCATTACATAGTTTTTTTTATCTTTTTTCAATAGTCATCTTAAATATTTTCAATACTCATCTTTCATGGTTTTGATACTGAAAAATTTTGAAAATGTTTTTTAATATTGAAAATATGAAAAATGAGTATTTAATACATATAAGATAATCGTTGAAAACTTGAAAAATTGAGCACTGAAGATGTGAAAGATAAACAATGAAAATATGAAAAAGGAGTACTAAAAAAAATTAACTAGAAAAAGTTTTGAGGGAAAATGACAAGTAAGGACCCTATAAAAAGATTAATGATAAATTAAGATTTTTTTAAAGATTTTAATACTGGAGTATGGGAGAATGAGTTCTGAATTTAGGAACCTCAATTGTCAAAAAAAAAAAAAACTAATTTCACATTGATATTCTCATGAGATCTGTATTTGTCATTCTTTCAAATTTTAATTTCGGGTACAAGCTATAGTCATTTTTTTAAATTTTATAATTTCAGAATCTGTAACTATAAACAATGTTAAGAAAACTGGATCAATCATTGAATCGAATGAGGTATTAGTTTACAATTCAATGGTCGAATCATGGTTCTATCGCTCTTGAATAAATTAGTATGTTTTAAATAATATATACTTAAAAATATAATAATCAAAGTGAGTTTTTAATTTAAAAAAATAATATAAAATAAAAAATGAAATACCCATCACTATTCCATCATTTTTATCCAAAATATATGTACTTATTTCATAATTTATAATTTATAACTTTAAAATATATACATATATACTCATTATATACATATTTCTTACAATTTTGTTCATTGTTTTCATTTATCAATGCTCATTACTTATTAGGTACAAATATCCGTAAATTATAATTTATAAATATGAATTAATTTTTTTAAAAAAATAAAAAAAATAAAAAAAAGATTGGTTCAACCAATTAACCCACCATTATGTCAGTTCTAGTTGGTTTGAAAACAATTCAACCAATTTTTTAGCAATTCTCAGGATGGATTGCTTTTTGTGTTAATCAGATCCATCAGTCCAGTTTGATTCTGATAATATTGATTATAAACAATATTTTTAAAAGGTTTTTAAATGTCATTCTCCCCTTTTCTTTTCTACTTATCTCCAAAACCATCTTCTAGAAGATGCCAATGTGAATAAATGCTTAGCAATAAAACTAGAGAAGTGGAATAATTTGATGCAGGGTAACATTGGGAGTGGCATTCTCAATGTTGGTAACGGGGACATTAGCAAATACAAAGACAAGGTCAAGAGCACAATGTGGCATTTCAACTCATCGTTTTCTGTCCATTGGAGGCATCTTATGTTTCATCCATGGCCTCTTCACTGTTTCCTACTATGTCTCTGCTGCTGCTGCTGCTAGAGAAGACCAGAGATCAACACCACGACCAAACCCATAAATATATACTCTCTCTTATCCTAATCATAGGGTAAAGTTAATTAACTTGATCATGATTTTTAAAGAATGATCGTTAATATTTTTAAACATGTAAAAAATTTAGGAAATTACACTTAAGTCTTACAAAAAATAATTTATTATTAGAGAGTTTTATAAAATTTACAAAATACTTTTAAATCTCAAATCTTGCACATTAACAACTTGAATAAGAACATTTACAATTGGGCAACAAGCACATGCAACTTGCAAAACAAAAAAATGACAACTTATAATAGAAAATTATAAGTGTCCATTAATCAATTGTAAGGGCCCGTTATCTAAGTTATAATTGTGTAGGATTTAAAATTTAAAAAGTATTTTATAAATTTTATTAGAGTTTTTGGTAATAAATTCTGTAAAACTTAGGTGTAATTTTTTCAAAAAATTAAAATGTTTGACTTTTTACTTTTGTCATTTGCTACAATTAGTAATTACAATAAAATTTATCTAAGAATTACAACTTTGTGCAATTAATGTGCGACAATATTGCCACACACCCAAAAAAAAAAAGTTAATTGCTATCCTATATTGAGGATTAAATATAGTTTTGAAACTTTACCTTATAATTAAGATAGGAGTGAATGTGTGTGTAACTTAAATTATTTTTTACGAAGGCCTTGTAGAGTATGTGTTCTGCTTCAAAATTCATGATTTGTCCATTGTAAAATTAATTCACATTATCATCGTCGGAAATATTGTCTAATTTTTTTCTTAATTCTCCGTTCTACCGCCTGAGGAGGCAAGAATTTTTAGACGAATAAAAAGATAATTTGATAGATATAGTTTACCATTTTTACTGTTATAAACTGATTATATGCTAACTATAGACATATCTGAACCATCATCAAGGTTTAGCCCATGTAATAAGAATGGAGTATTCCTTTCTGGATTCAAATATTCATGTATTCAATTGTTCCATGATAATAAATTATACAGTCATTAACTTATAAATAATACTATTTATTATAATTTTTAATGTATGTGTATTGATATTGAAATATTTTGATGGTTAATCTAAATACTAAAGTGAAAACAGAACTTCCATACTTCCTTTATTAAAAAATATAAAATATTTTTAACAAAATCTCACCCTCCAATAAAGTTTTTACCTACTTTCAAATTAACTTTATCTTTTCATATTTATCCTTATTAAATACCTTATAATAAATATAAAATCATTATCAATAGAGATATTTTTTAAAAAATAATAATTATACCTTAAAATATTAAAAATATCTTACATTTTTAAACATTTAACTTCTCAAAAAATATTTTATATTTTTAAATAAAAAGAGTATGTCTTATCCTTTTATATTATGCTCTTATTAGTTTGGGACAATATAATTTTTAATTTTTAAATTATCTCTTAATTATTGATTTAATTTTAAAAATTTAACTTAATATGTAACTCAACCAGGTAATTCATTAAGTTAACTAAATTATTCCAAATGAAAGAAATAATAAAGATTGAATTGTTCTAATTTAAATTCTAAAACTAAATCAATAATTAAAAAATTCAAGAACTAAAAAATATATTTTTTATTATCTATATTACCATATGACCATGTCCATGAGTTTTTCAAATTCTTTAATTTCTTTTAATTGCTACATTAATTTATATATATATATATATATATATTAGTGAAATTGGTGAATTAATAGTGGACCGTTGATTTTTTGTAACAGTAATTCAAAACTAAGAAAGCTTTCTTCCATTATCTGATACAAATGCTCTACACTATCTGTAGATATTCTCAATTACAAGCAAAACCAGTCTGAATTTACGAACGTTTCTGCATCAAACAATCAACAGAGCTCAACTTTCTTGTTCAACTTTCGATCCCATGCCAATTTTCTTGGACAAGAGCAAGTTGTGAATGTTCGGCAAAACGCCGCCGTTTGAGATAGTCACGTTCGCCAGCAACCTACTCAGCTCATCATCGTTCCTCACCGCCAGTTGAATGTGCCGAGGCACAATCCGAGTCTTCTTGTTATCTCTCGCAGCATTCCCAGCCAATTCCAAGACCTGCATTTCATTCACGAATAATCACGATCAATATTCACTGTATTTTCAAATTAACGAGAGCGAGATCTATGAAGCCTGAGAATTGCACGATCGGATTCCATTTCTGAAATGGTGATTCTGAGGAATGAAACATACCTCGGCGGAGAGGTATTCAAGGATGGCGGCGAGATAGACTGGGGCGCCAGCGCCGAGACGGTCGGAGTATTTCCCGGACTTCAAGAAGCGGGCGATCCGACCCACGGGAAATTGCAGACCTGCTTTGCTGCTCCGAGAGGCACCTTTCTTGACGGTGCGAGCACTGAGGGATTTTCCTCTTCCGGCCATTGTTCTCAGAGAAGGTAGGGTTTTGCTCCTAAAGAACTTGAGGTCAGGCGTCGATGACGATTCTTGGTACGGCGGAGTCCGATGGCTCCGTTTGGTTTTTTATAACGAGGAAGGATGAAGATTTTGGGCCAATCAGGAAACGTCTCTCGGATCGTTGATCTCAGACCGTTGATTGGTGTGAATAATTGTACGGTCAGATATTAGATTTGTGACATGCGGGACTTGCAAAAGTTGCAATTGGGGGGCGCGCGTACGTGGAAAATTTAAACATGGGAGAATGACAAAAGAGTTCAAAAATACTAATTAATTTAAGTTTTAAATGTTAAATTTTAAAAAATTATAATTCAATCTTCCAATTTTAAAATTATAAATAAATTTATAATTTATTTTTTAAATTTTAATATAATTGTTAAAATTTAAAATAATAATTACAAATTCATTATAAAGAACTTACAAAATTAAAAATTAAATTGTAAATTTTTAAAATTTAACATTTGAGACTTAATTTAAATTGATTAATTTTTTTGAGGCATCTCTGTCATTCTTCCATTTATAAAATGGCAAGATTTTTTTTTGGGTTAATGATCACTTTAAGTTTTTTAATTATCCTTTTCTTAACACCGGTGATAATTTTAATGATTAAACACTGAGAGGGTTCCATTCCAGCTTTGGGGTCCAAGAGATTGACTTGGAGTTGGGGTTCATGTAGCGTGCGGTGTCCTAATCATCCACTTAGAAACAAGATAGGTAGGGATCTATATGCTCTCCATACACTCTCCACATATCTTTCTCCCTATGCAATCTTTGCCATCCATACTCTACTATCTTGATCCAACGATTCCCACTTTGAATTATTATGCCAAAACTCCATTATTATGCCACTAAAATACTTATTTCTTCCCTTCCAAATCTACACAACCACCTGTCAACATAAGTACACATCAAGAGATCCCCTAACAACAAAAGTTCTCAAGGTCAAAAGTTTGCAACAACTAGAAATTCGTACAGACCCACCAAGTTGTTATTGTCCTTGAATGAAGAAATTCCTCCGACTGCAATTTTGCTGTGAAGAAACTCATCTATCTTGCCAAGGGAGATTGATTTGGTCCCTTATGCCACCATTCCACATCGGACAAGATGATGGATGTGGTTCCTTATTTACTGTTCTCGATGCCGCTTTTTGTCACAAGCCTAGTCCAGTAAGCCACCATTTTGTGTGAGATGAATGCAGCTGTTCCGTGTCAGAGAAGGAAATTGACTGTTTTTGATGCCCCTCGCCAATGATATCACAAGATTCAATATCTAAGAGATGGATGCCATTCCTATGCTATTCTATGGTCTTAGAACTGTTAGTAACGACATCTTATCTTCATCATGCAACGCACAAATTCAATATTTGCCTCGGCAAAGTGGGAACCGTTGGATCAAGGTAGTATAGTATGGATGGCAAAGATTGCATAGGGAGAGAGATATGTAGAGAATATATGGAGAGGATCTAGATTCGGTAGGCATGAAGCCAGCTAGAATTGTGCAAAAACTCATGAGTCTTGTTTAATTCAATCCAACTCGAATAAATTTGATCTAATTCAGTTAGGAAAAATAATTTATCCAAATGCTTAAAAGGACCAATAAAGTCAGATTTCATTTTCAGGTTGAACTTGAAAAAAGACCAAGCTACAAGGCCAATTGGTCTAGTCTAATACTCTAAAATTATTTTAATATAATTATAATTAATTAATTATAATAATAAGTAGGTGGAAAATATTAAAGGATGTCAGTCACCTATACACCAGAGACACAAGACGCACTCACACAGTTACGCTCTTGCTCTTATTGACCTAGCATGCCCCTCCTGTGCCCTAGCCTCACCTCACCTTGGGTTGAAATAAATTGTTACTTTTCATAGGGAGGGAGGGAGGAAGCCAAGTGAGATATTAAATTATTAAAATCAACCTTTTCATTTGTTAATCTTATGAATCAGGTTTGCTCCTCCTCAACTTTGAGTTCTACCCAAATCAAATCATAAGTTGTCTAAGTTTTTTTAATAAAAGAAATTAGTCTTTTAATTAGGCTAAAGTCATGTCCTATCCATGCTTGTATAGTCTTAAAACCAATAAGTATTAATTCAATTAATAAAGATTTGATTTATAATATATAAAATTATGAGATCAAATTGTATTGTCAATGTGAAAACCTAATTGATTGGCAATCAATAAATTTTCTTTGAATCTAGAGATAGATTTTGATCTTAATTAGCTTCTATACTAAATTCACACTAACTTTCTTTTATATATATATATATATATATATATATAAATATTTAAATATATCGATTCCCCCTTGTCAAATTTTTATGGCCCAACTTTTGACTTTAAAACGAGAAAAATGAATTTACAAATCTTTATAGTTTTCTCTCAATTTTAAATTATATTGTGATAGATTAATTTTTCCCTTTTTTTCAATGTTTTGCTTTACTAAAATTCAAAATTGTTATTATTATTAAATTAATAATAATAAACTCATAAGCATTTGAGGATAAAGTATCGGTTGAATTATATGATAGTTGATTGCCTCTGCCCTCTATTAACCCTCAATTCCTTCACCCCACTTGTGATCCTTGCATGCCAAAATGGCTTATCCAATAATCCATCATGCAATTAATTAGAATAAGAACCTCTAAATGCAAAATCTGTGATGTTAACGGACCCAAATGCAATTCAATAAGAATTGTAAGTAGCTAGGTGGTAAAATTTTCCTCGTCTGATTTTCTTGAAATAGCATCCAACAGAATACAGTCCGAGACAAGCATACACAAATTAATCTTACACAAGAAGAAGAAAAAGAGGCTTGGAATTTTATTTTATTATTATATTAACCAAGCTTGGCTAAAACATCATTCAGAGTAGAGACTGTCTCTGCATAGCACTTTTCTGCCTCTGGTGTGCTCTTAATCTTCGCAGCATGATCCAACTGTTGATCAGTTAAAACATAATTAATTAAGTCAATCATCAAAGTTAAAAAAAAAAAAAATAGGCCATCAAATTCATAAAAAGTGTGTACTCCAGAGAGAGGATATTAAATTTGATTACATTTCACTTCTTTTTACATTTATTTTTACCTTTATATCTTTATTAAATACTAAAAATATATTAAAAATAATTTTTTTGTCCTTATTAGGAGTAATGGTGGAAATTTATTCAATTTTAAGATATAGTTAATCACAATTAAGGTTTTACTTGATTGAATGAAATATATTAAAAATAACTTATAAATAAGGTCGGATGAAGTGAATATGCAGGCATGTAATTTTTTTAATCCAATCTCTGTCTCGAATATTTATTTTACTCTTCTCTTTATCTAGGAAAATGCCCTTGTATTAAGAAACCTTACAGAAAATTGATAGTATCAATTTTTTTTAAAAAAATCAGAGAGTAAATATATTATACTGATGCTCCATAGTAAATTTTTAAAAATTCAAATTTTATTTTATCTTTTAATTTTCATACTTTTATTTTAAATTTAAAAAATAAAAACATTAAAATATTGTACTTGTTAAATGAAAATATGTTGATTCAAAAATATAAAATTTAATATGTGTGTGTATATGAATCACCTAAATCGAATATGAACCATTGATACTTCTTTTTATACATTCATGAATTTGTTATTTAAATTAAAAATAAAAAATAAAAAGTTAAACCCCAAAACTCTTAGAATTAAATTTAAATTGTTCGTACATTATTTTTTTATCACTTTGTGTTCAATATTTTTATTTGAACATAAAGGATTTTTATGATACAAAATAAGGGATTTTTATCTGATCTTTTTGTGGATCTCTATTTATAGAAAATAATGTATTTTTTAGTTATTTTAATATTTAGTTTAAATAAATATTATCAATTTTCACAAAGTAAATTCCTTTTAAAAACATAAGTATTTTTTTAATTAAAAAAAGCTTAAACAAACCGATTCAAAGACAGACTAAAAAGTCAGAATATTGTACTCATAAATTTATCAAAGTTTGATAAATATTGCGACTTGTTATTTAAAATCTGGCACAGAAAAGAAAACAAAACCTAGTTAATTGAGATGTCAAAGGAATAATTGAAGCAAATTTGATAGATGTGGAGAATGAACTTACGTTGCTGATGGTCTGGAAGAGCTTGCCAGTGAGTTCCTGGAGGGACTTCTTCTGGTCCTTTGGCTTAGCGGAGATGACAGTGTTGAGATCAAAGCGTAGGTACTCTGCCTTCAAACGCAGATCGTTCTGAACGTAAGGCCATGCCTTCTTCTCGATCAGTCCCTTCACATTCACTATGTCCTTCGCCGATTCCTTCGCCCTCTGCGCCGCCTCGCTCGGCCCCAATGGCTGCAGGAAGAACCTGTCCTTCAATGGCAGCAGCAGATCCCTTGGCTGATCCGAGTTCAGTGTCCCAGCTGCCACATTCCACAACCATTCCCATACAAATCTATAAACCTTGAATTCTCAAATTCTGTACTGGGAATCTCTAATATTGAAAGATTCAGAAGGAATGATCATCGGAAATACTTACGCAGGCCACCAGACGGCGCCGGGGGAGGGCCAACTTTGATGGGCTTGGCATCGGCAAGGACGGCCTGAACAAAGGACCCGGCGGACAGACCGGCGGCGACCAGTCCGAGCACGACACGGCGACTGGCTTCGGATTGGTCCTGCAGGGCTCTGACGACGAGCCCTTGACGGCCCAATGAGACAGTCCTTCCGTTGCCGGAGGCGTTCAAGCGGGAGCTACCTTCGAACACAGGCTGAGAGGAAGATCGCAAGCCAGCCATTGACGATGCCATAGTTTGAGCCATTAGTTAGGAGTGGAGCTTGAGATTCGTGTGAAGTGCTTCAGTGAAATGACAGAATGGGAATATAATTCTGTGGACGACGACGAGGGCGACGATACGTATTTTGGGTTTGTTTGGGAGTGAAGTGTGTGATTCAGAAACAATTGATTGAACACCTTATCTGCGATTACGAAGTCGGGATAAGTTGGATATGGTGTCTGGCCAATCAGGGCAGAGAATGATTGGCGCGAATGGAGACGAGCTGGATTATGCTTCCAGGTGGATTCCTAGTAGCACGACACGTGTAACAACGAGTAATAATTCTCAAAACCAGAGGCCCGTTTCCGGTTGTTTCCGTGAAAAAATCTTTTAATAAGGGAAAATGATAATAAAAGTCGGATAACAAGAAATTTACGAAAAGATCCCACAAAAGTTTTTTGAAAATAAATTGTAAATATTTGTTGAAAATAAATTTTGTATCATACAGATTATATAATTAACTATTAAACAACATTCAAAGAGAGCAAAGGATCATAAAAGAAGTTTAGATTATAGGGTTTTAATCTTTATATTTCTTTTAGATCTTTTGTTAATAACCTTGAATCATGATAGCTTGCATATGCATAGCAAAATGTTTTGAAAGACAAGTTTTAGGCTCATGCACATACTTATGAATTTTGAACTTAGAAAACATTTTTGTGCATTTTGATGTTCTTAACCTCTTCCTCACAAGGGACCATCCTACGCAAATTTTAGTAAATGTCATAGATTATTTTTAGTGCTGCATCTCATACTCACAAGTATTCAAAAGTTCCCTCCCGAGTTTTAGAATTCCAAAGCACTTTCGATTTTGTGATGCTCAAAACATGTGAGTTCCAATATGACGTACGTGAGTCTTAGAGTTTCAATAGCAAAATGAACTTTTGAGGCGCTCAAACTTGCATGGGCATGGTTAGTGCCAGCATGAATTTTTTAGTTCCAAAAGAGAATTTGGTTCTAAGCACTCAAAACACATGAGGTTCAATTGTAACCCATGTGAGCTTTAGTGTATCAATATAAACCAAGGTTCTAAACTTATTCTTGCGAGGTTGAAGTTTTTACCCTCACGAGGTTTGAATCAAAATTGTGACTTGAGTTCTTGTACATATTGATCCTTGTGTTGATTAATTTGTCTAACGTGTATTACTCAAGTTTGCTTTAGTATGAGTCTTGAACACTTGAGCTTTGTCAAATCCTTTTTTAGTATTCGAAACGTATCTTAGCCTTACTAATGATTTGTCCAACGGTGTATTACTCAAGTTTGCTTTAGTATGAGCCTTGAACACTCAAGCTTTGTCAAATCCTTTTTCAGTATTCAAAATGTATCTTAGCCTTACTAACAAATTCTCGATACCCATGTATTTTTTAATGTGCTCAAGAGGTTTTTCATTTCTTGAAGTTATTCTTTGTGTGGTTCAGATTGTACCCACATGAGTTTTGGAGTTTCAGAGAAACTTGTGATTTTGTTTGACTCATCTTCATGTTGTTTGGAATGTGCCAATGTGTGTTATAGTCTAAGCCTTCTTGTCAAAGTTTCTAAGCCTCTTATCCTCATGTTAGATAGCCTAACCCACTCGAGTTATTAAGGTTTGAAAAGTATTTAATGCATTTCAAGAAAAAATGCATTAACTTAGTTTTTATTATTAGACATGCAATGCAATGTCTCCAAATATCTAGTTGAAATTTCTAACTGCTATAATCATCCTCACACTATATATAAAACTTTATTTAAATGAGTAGCTAACAAATTTATGATGCATTAACTGATTTCTACCTACATTTGTATAAGTTTTTGAAAAGTTCTTTATTTCTGGTCTATAGGATTTATTATCATATCTACTCTTTGTGAGAGTTCAATTGAATTTTTTTTATTATTCATATCATCCCTTTGAAGAGAAAATTTATAGGAAATACTCTACAATTATTGTGAGAAAATTAAGGAAAGCATTTCTTTGCTACGAGTTCAAAAAAGAGATTTCTTTGTGAGATTGTAAAGTACTCATTGTTTTTAAGGGAGAGATTATAGTGGCTCACAAGTGCACGCTTAAACTTGTGAAATTTAATGGAGAAGATTTCAAAAATACTTTGATAATTGAATGTAAACCAAGTGATTAAACTAAGTCATGATAAATTGCCATGTGCAATATTTTTGTATTAGCATTTCTATCCTTACTATTTACATTCAGCCTTTCAAATTCTCTCCATCTTGATTCTTGGCTTTAGAAAAATTTTGTTATAAACCTTTTTGGCACTTCGTTTTGACATCTTTGTTTTAAATACCTATTTTTCCTTTTCAAAACTTTTTTAATATGTGTCTACAAGGATTTCAGAATTTTTATTTATTATCTACGAACTTTGGAAACTTGATTTAACTATTCTATTAAGTGTTTGGAAAACCTTTGCAACCAAGTTCTTGAAGTTAAACTTAATTCGTTTTTAACAATCTTTCTATTTTATCTTTGCGTAAGCTTATTTTGAAGAAAATCATTAAAACCATGAAATTTGGTGAAACACTCAATTTACCCCCTGTTAAGTGTAGATGTCTAACCAAACAATATTAATTCTAACAATTGCAAACAAGAATTCTAACTATAAATTAAAAGTTATATTTAAAATTTAAATATCTTATTTATTATTAAAACTCTTGAATTTATAATTATCTGAATCAATATTTATAACTTATTTTTAAAAAAAAATTTGTCAAGGACCTAACTTTTCTTAAATTCATTGTTTTGAAACTTTAACATCATTCTCCCAAATAAAAAATATTTTGAAAACTTTTAAGATTTGGTTTAAATTTTTATAAGGATAAAGTATATATTTAGTTTTTAACTTTACATAGTATTTCATTTTGATTTCTTAATTTTATTAACAAAAAATTCTTATATTGCATTTTTAAACATTGATAAATTATTTTTAAATATTAACATATTAAGTTTACTTTAAAATAGAAAAAATAATTATTTAAAATTAGCAGGTTACAGATAGAGGACTTTATAAAATTAAGAGGCCAAACAAAAATCTTATATAAAGTTTGAGGATTAAAAATAAACTTTAACCTTTTTATTATTTAATTCAACAATTTCAAGCAAAAAAAAAGTAATTTTTTATTATAACCAGATGTAAAAGAACTTTTATCTTTCAAAAAAATAATAAATTATATAAAAGGATCAAATATGAAAAATATAAATTTAGAGAAAATAATATTTATTGAAGAGGATATTAAAAATAATAATTATATAAAAGGATCAAATATCAAAAATATAAATTTAAAAATATTAAATTACTCTTAATCATATCTCATATATATTTTCTGACCACATCTCTTGTTGTATTTCAAAGTTACCAACAAAAACACATATTTTGAGAGAGAGTTATTTTTTTATAACAAGAAAATAAATAACAATAAACTAAAATAAAGCCAAGAAACCTGTAATAAGTTCATGATCTCATCTACATTGAAAATTTCGAATTCTAAAGACTAGGATATGGTGTTTTTGAAAAAATGTAATAATTTTTAAAAGAAAAAATATAACTTTAAATTTTTACACTTTACTAGCATTTTGTTATTGATTTCAACACTTTTTTTATGTTTTAGAGCTTGTTTAAAACTATTTTTATTTTATTATTCTAAAAATTGGTGTTTTATAAAACATATTCTGAGAAAAAAATAATAAAAATTAGTATTTTTTTTCATATTCTTTTGTTCTCGAGAATAATAATTCCAAAATAGTTAAAAGTTATTTAAATTTTTATGTTCTCTAGGCTAATATTTTATTTTTTTTATTCTCTAAAATACTTTTTAAAAACACGCTACCAAATAAATTTTTTTATTCTTTTATTTTGAAAAATAGAAATTGTTTTTAGAACATGTTGCCAAATAGACCCTCAAATCCCTAACTTTTATTTTTTATTGTTTTATATTCCTTCAAGGTTCCTATACTTTGTTTATAGAGAGACCTAAAACAATAAAATAAAAATAAAAGTATAGAAACTAATAACAAAATGCAAGCAAAGTACAGTGTCCCAAAATTATATTTTTTCTTTTTAAAAATAAATATTTTTAAATTATATTAATATAAGTTTTAATTATATTAATTTAATTATTTAAAAGTAATTTTTTTAAAAATCATATTGATTTTATTAAACGCAATACTACTTTTATTTCTTCTTTTTTTGTGTGTGTGAAATTAAAAACTGTACAACCTTATTTTTTAAAACATTGTCCTCATAACTTCTGTGGTACTCTCACTTTAATTTTGAGGCATTATTGATAAATTTTATACTAAGACTATAGCTTGGTCCTTCATCTTAATTTTAATTTTTATGATCCTTTAAAATAAATTTTAGCAGCATAAGATCCCCCCCTCCAATTTTTCCTTTGGCATTTATAGATAATTTAGTTGTACAATTGAATTTTGGATTTGGTGTTTTTTGGACTAATGAGCCTAACTTGTTTCATGCAATAAAATTATTATTTGGGGAGAGTAGTGCAGAACTCCAAAACGACACTGAGGGGGAAAAAACGACACTAAAGAGGGTGGCTCTTAATTTTTCCCTTATCCTCTCTCTCCCACATATGCGGCCACAGGCATAGCATAACAGCCAATTCCTATCCCTCTTTTTGGTTCAAAACAATGGCTGAAGCCATCATGGGTTTCACCATTTTCAAGTCACAGATTCACAGCTCATGTTTACAAACAAGGAGATTTGAAGCCAACCCGTCTTCAAGATTGGTGAATTCCTCTTCCACTTTCTTTTCATGAGAAAATAACATGCAATTATGTTTCCAGTTTGAAATTAATTGGTTCGTTTTCTCTTGCAGCTCAAGCAGCATTCAGCCTCTACCTTTTTCAAAGGAACTAGGCCAGTAAGTTGTTCATGTTTTCTTTTCAGCTTAGGTACCTCTCTTTTAATCCTGGTGGAGATATAGAGTTATTCTATATATGTATATGTATATGTATATGTATATGTATGTATACTATCCATTAAGAAATATTTTATTGAGATTTATGAAATATTTTGTATTCATTAGATATTATTAAGATATTTACAAGTTATTGTTAGATTCATCTATATATTGTAAGTTTTGATAGTTTATTCAGTTTTAACCCTTTCTCTTTATTTTGATTAGAACCACTCCTGAATTTCTGCTTAGTGATTCATATATATTAACAGGATAAATGTCAGTCTCATCAATTCTTACTCAAAACTTTAAGGCATGGCTATATTTTTGGTTATTTGGATATTAGATAGAGAGAGGCAAAAGCAGAAGATCCAGCCCATGTAAAGTGAATGGATTGCCAGATTTGCCCCTGATGGCTGTTATCGTTGAGCAGATTGAAGGACAGATAGATTATATAACACAGAAATCTGTTTGGCATCTCAGTGATGAAGCAATAAAGAATGTCTGTGAGTATCAAATCAATGAACTTCCTCTGCTTCTCTTCTCCAATCCAAACTGTCAGTGTTTCATTTTCGCTCTCTTTTTGTTGCAGATTCATATTACACACTATTCACTATCTGGGGCTGTTTATTCTTTGGTTCTATGAAGGTAATCAATTAACTTCCTTGCATCATTTTATAGCAGAGCTTAATTTATTAATAACAACATATATGATTCAGGACCCCTATTATGACTCGGAAACATACAGAGGAGATGGAGGAGACGGTACGGGTAATTGGATTTATGAGAAGGTAATCTTCTGAGCATGTTATCAGAAAAAGCTAAGCTATTTGATATAGAAGTTATGTAAAAGAATAAGATCTGAAATACGTGGCAATGTTGGTGTGCAGCAAGAAAAAATGGAAGCAGACGCAAGAGAGGCTCTGTGGCGAGAGGAGCTAATAGAAGAGATAGAACAAAAGGTTGGAGGGCTGAGGGAATTGGAAGAAGCAGCCAAGAAAGAGGAACTTGTCAAGTGACAAAGTTTAACCAACCAATGTTTCATTATTGTATATATATATATATATATACAAGTTTATATTCTGCAACTACCAAAAGTGGCAGGCCATCCCACATTCATCATGTCATTTGCTTATGCTTCCAATGTATTGTTGGACAACAATAGATGATACTTGTTTTGGTCATTCTATTCTGGGAGATTCCTGTCATAATTAGTTCTGCTTATTCCACAGTTACTAAAGTGTTTTGAAAACTAGATTAAACCCAAAGGCATGTTGGTCGCCTCCTTTTTCTTTTGTGTTTATTTGTATAACGATACATTTGTATATAGACAGATGGACAGACATGAAATTTATTATGTAGTTTGGCAAGCTTCTAGGAAAAATAAATAAATAAATAAATGAAAACATAATTACTGATTCGTTAGTTTAAATAAATTACATAAATACAAAATTTTTATTCCTTTAGTTTTCGAGTTGTTTTGGTATAAATCTCCATAATTTTTTTCCTTCACTCCAGATCTCTTTACTCGTCTACAATATTATTCGATCTATTTTTAAACATACCTAAAAGAACGGTTCTGTGCTGAGGTCGAATGTTGATTTCCAGCATCATCTACCATGATTTGTTTCATGTTTAGATTCGTCACCTCAGCCAAATTAACGCCGTGTTGATCACATGCCAACATATTTAATATCATTAACACCACTCATTATTCTCGGGTGTATTTAAAAATAGAGGTTAACATTGCACTCATGATAGTTTTTTTTTTTTTTTACCAACAAGGAATATTGCACTCATGAAAACTAAAAAGGATACGATGCGACAAAAAATAACTGCAAGAACCTACACGGACATGCAAAACACATTAAAATTATAAGCGCCACAAGTTTTTTGTTTAAAAAAAAAACTACATCGACAGTACACGTCTTTTCAGAATCTTGAATCAAAGTCTTGACCCATCTATATTATTCACCCTGAACATTTGACACATTCAGGAGGATCACGACAGGATATAATCCAAACGAACTAGGAAGGGTTAAATCCTATCTAATCGCGTTCAGTTTACGGGATATTATAAACCAAAGAAAATAACAATATTCAGATTTAAAGAACATCCGACCGTCCCATAGTATCAGCATCTCAAGAATGTTAATTATCTATGCCTTTATTGTTCCAAGCCTCAGGTGCATCCACTTGCTTCGCTTTGATGAATGCAATCTCGTTCAAAGTTCAGAACTAACACAAAAGTTGCCCAAGCAAAACCAACAATATGGAGTGCTTGTCGCGCTTCAAGGATCAAATGGCATTTGTGGATAAAGCATCAATCAGGATAACAAAATAATAAATATCAAGTTCAAGGCAATAAACCAAGAGAAATGATATCCTCCACCTCAAGGAATTGGTAATATACACAAAATTATTCAGTAACATAACAACCCATTTAAAACTGATTTTTAATATAGCCTAACCAGAGAGATGCAGACTCAATTGAAACAGTAATCACAATCAAGAAAATTAGCTAACATACAGTGCTCAGTGGAAGGAGAAGTCGTTTAACAAATGGGCTCACGGCGAAACCAAATGGTCACGTCCACTACCCAAAAACACATTCAAGTGTTTAATCTCATCATCGCACCAAAAGATAAATAAGACAACGCCCAAAACAGAATCTAGTACAGTATATTGAATTAAATGATATCTATAAAGAAATCAGGCTTCAGTGTGTGTAACAATCAGATCATTGATAGAAATCTCACTGAAATCCGCTAAGATAATTAAAGTATCATCACAAGCCAATTTCCTTCACCAGCTCAACAAAACATTCAAGACATTCGTTGGAAGGGGGGGGACTGAGAAACTTGACAAAAGAAATCGAAAAACTTGCTTAAGGTGTGCTCAGACAGCCAAGGGTTTGTTAATCAAGTTCTGAGTGTGATGCCCAGATCAGAAACTCTAGTCCAATAAACTGCCTCATCACCGCACACTCCAGAAAACAAAAGAAAAAAACAAACACAAAACAGAATCTATGTAGATCACAGCCATATTTGAAGTTAAAAGCTGATGATTTTCTTAACAAGTAAATTACCGCAAGCAAATAATAACTCCAACTAATTAAAGCCTTCATTATTATACCGGCGTAGATCGCTTTATCACATGAGATACTTTCTGGAGCCCAAATAACTATCAGGCTTCAACAGAAACATCATTCGAATCTCCATTCTTGGCAAAAATCATAAGGCTTTTATGCAATCCACTGCTTGGCATTTTGTCACTTTCAATGGGTAATGTATATAAAATCATGCATAAAATTCTAGACATTTTGGATTGTCACAATATCATGGGGGGAAAAATAGCTTCTACTTTAAAACCTTTGATTTGAAAGCATCACTCAAATACATGCAGTTTGAGAAATAAAGGATAAAAATTATTGACGAACAAGCAACATAAAAGAGACAACGCATTCCTTCTAAAAAACGGCCTCAGAGGTAGTGACAATTTGAAATTTCATCATAACCACGTCTGATAATACGTGCAATTTGAGTACATCATTGGCCAAAACATCATCAATAATTTACTTCATTACATACATTGTTGGTAGATGTGTTTGTTCACAATAAAAAACAACAGACATTTACAAGCTTCAATCGTGATTCTGAATCTGGATGGAAATATACTTCTACATGCCTATTTATAATACCTCATATTCCGACAGACAACCCTTTTTCCTCGAGTTCATTAATATTTATCTCCAAAGCTTAAATCTATCTTAATGATGGGTCTGGTAGGAAGAACTGGTAGTAAACATAAAATGAGGGGCACCCAGGCTTTTTGTCCTAAAAAAACCCTAAACAATGAAGAAAATCTAACATCCACCCAAGACTTAGGTCTATCAAATAATGTTTAGTAAAATTGTGCATCAGAGAGATTCCCAACAGACAAATCATCATTCTCTTGTAGAGTGCTGATGTCCCTGTCTATGTTGTCGTCACTTGCATTATATAATAGTTAAATAAAATCTTGAGAGAAACAAAATATAAATATGGTGCCTTGGCAATAGTTCTAATCACAGTAGAAATCATGAATGGCATCAACACAAACAGAACACGTAGCTCTGCATAGACGACAGTCATGGTTCCCTAATTCAATTCACAAATGCAGCCATAACGATAGCTTAAAAAGATTAATAATTATAATAATGATGCAATTAACCAAGACTTCAAATAACCAACACGCAGGGGTTGAAGACACAACCAAATCACGGAAAGTAAAAGCTGATGTCATAAAAAAAAGAATGAACACAGGATACAAAGGTAGCACATGGATTTCATATGTAGGGTGCATAAAAGCTGTTCATGCGATTTCAAACTGCAAAACAAAGTTCTTCATATGTAGAGAAAAGTGGAGGACGAATGGATGCCTCAGATCAAAATTGATATCATAGGTAACTCTCAGAGTATATTTAAACCCATCACAGGCAGGCACATGCGAGAGGAAGTAAAGAAAATCAATCACACGAAGACACAAGATCGAAAACCAAAACTTTGAGCTACAAGTATGGATCTCCAGTAAGTAAAACAAATAATCAATTGGAATGAAACTTCAAACGCCACATTCCGCAATCCTAGTCTGGGTGTGAGATCGCCGGCGTTTAAATAGAGATGGACAGCACGAGGAATTAGGGCACAGAAGGAGGCCAAATGAAATCGTGGCCGTTAATCAGCGAGAGGCTCGTGAAAGAGTATATCTACTTTGAGCCCAATGGATCAGGTCCAGAATGGGAATGATATGGACCCATGACCACCCTTTATAAAATAAAAAAAAAATGCCCAATCCAAATGTGAATTCGGCCGAACCGGAAAGTATTCGCATGCTAATAGAAATTGGATCTAATAAAAAGCTTAATATCTTTCAACTCAAGCTAAATTCTGACAAGTTAGTTCAAACTTATATAAAAAAATTTAAGATTAAATTTTAAAAAATAATTTTTTACATTTGGGCCTATTCGAGCTAATAGGCTCAAAAGCCCGATACCTAAATAAAAAATTATATCTTTAAAAATATATAAAAAATAATAAATATTAATTAATTCTTTAAATTTTAAATCCTTTTATATTAAAATATCATATATTTGAATCCTCTACATCATTTAAATATTCAAAAAATATATTTTATATTTTTAAAAAAATAAGATTTAAGTATTCAAACAGCTCGAATTTCAAAAGAATTGGGGCTAGGCTTACTATTGAGACTTTTTAAGATGTCAGGCTTCTTTAGGCTTGAACTTATTCAGGCAAAGCTCAAATCCGCTCGATCCACCTGAATTTCCACTTTTATTACAATGTTACACTAAGGTTTAAATTTTTATTAAGAGAAGTACCTTCGTTTAATACTTGACTAGAGCTCAAAAAGTCAACAAATGTGGAATATATTATGAAACTCGAAGGCTGATATTGAAAGGCAAAGAAGAAATGAAGAGTCCAAGAAATAGGTGGAAGAACGCCGTAGATGCAAAGAATTGATGGTTGAGTGAAAACTCCAAAGGAGGGGGAAAGGGATAAGGTTTGAGTCGTTAGGTGAGGTGGAAGATGGAAAAAAGACGGTGTGGTGGACGACGAGTCTGAAGCCTATTTTGCATAATGATAACGTATTCACTTATCATACTTGGTGCTCCCAAAAACGTCACATAATCTACATTAGCTAATGGCCACCGTAATTAATATTCACCCTACCCGTATAGGCTTATATGACCTGGCTGCACGTAGCGATCACAATGCCTCATTAATTTATAATGACTCATCGAAGACACTTTATTTTATACTTCCTTCAAATCACAATATATAATATTTTTTAAAGATTTTATTTTGTCATAAATATGGAACATTTTAAATAATTTTTATATTTATTTTTTTAACTATATCCCTACTTCATTTATTACTTTTTAAAAAAAATCATGTATTAAAATTTTAATTATTATTATAAAAGCTCTTATATATAGTATTCAATAAGGGTATAAATAAAAAGATACAGACATTTTTAAAAATTTAATGTTTCAACTGATATTGTTCATAAATTATAAATTAGTTAACTATAATTTATATTATGATTTGAAAGGAGCATGTTAGTTTATTCTTCAAAACAACAATAATGTGGGAATTGCTTATAATGAACACCATCTATGGGATGACATTGGTTTTATCATAGACGTTGTGCTGTTCAAGATGGAGGGAGGTGAAGACAGTCACACCACTATCCAGGGACAATATCAAGATGTGATAATTTCATGGCCAACCAAGCCTATGGTGGACCTTTTGAGATTACCCTTGTAGTAGGAAGTCATTTTTAATATTTATCACCTTGATAAGGTATGAACTATTTAAATAATTTAATTTAGATCATCTAAATTTAAATTTTTGTATTTTTATTTTATATTTATTAAAACAAATTTTTTTAATAAATTTGTTTATTATCAATTGGACAGTCTAAATTTAATATTAAAATTTTTTATAATTTTGTAAACTCACTATCCACATTTATTTTTGGACTGTCTAAATTTAAAATTACAATTTCTTAAAAAATCTTCTTTTAAAAATACCATTTATAAAAATTAACATTATATTTATAACATTTAAGATAAAATTTTATAAAAATTATAGTAAAAAAACTTAATATTAAATACATATTACCCATAATATATCTAGATGGTCAACTTTTAAAAATTTTAATATTAAATTGAACTATCTAAATTATCCTAATTGATGACAAATAGTCTATATTTAATATTAAATTTTATAAAAATTATAAAAAATTAATATTATATTAAATTATATAAATTAAATATGTATTATCTTAATTGATGATAAATTATTTATTAAAACATTATAAATTTTTATTTTAATAAATATAAAATATAAATAAAAAAAGGAAATTTAAACTATTCAAATCTCACTGTGGTGATGAGCATCATGGTCGCATCTCCACAATGAGCACGGAAGACCTGCTAACTCATGTGCCAGGTCTGATTGTTTTGACTTGTACTAAGGGGTAAAAGACCTTTCAAATACCCCTCGCTTACTTGTTTTCCTTTTCCCTTTTTCTTTTTTCCAAGCTTGGCTTGCCATCTGTAATCTTGAAAAAAAAACAAAAGAAAAACAACAACAACAACAACAATTACATAGTACTTCCTCAATTCTAATTTATAAAATACATGTAGATAAAATCTTAAATATTAATAAAATTTATTAAATATATTTTATAATTTTATTTTTTAAAATAAAATATAAATTTTTAAAAATATCTTTCAATACTTCATTTACAAGAGAATGTTGAAGAAAGAGAATATATGAAAAGAGTAATATTAAAAAAATATTATGAATAAAATTTTATTTTTTATTAAAATATTTTATATTTTGGGATGCCAAATCTTTCATAAATGTATTTTATATTTTGGGATAGAAAGAGTAACAAAATTTGTCAACTTATTTTAATACGATATCAATATCATGTTATGTGAAAAAATATTAGTAATTTATCCAAAAAATTAGTAATTTTCATCATCAAATAAATAAAAATATGTGCAATATATAAAAAAATTTACAAAAACATTTATGTTCAAGTGAAACATACATACAAATAGCTGCTTAAGCCATTTCTTTAAGAGAGAATTATATTGAAATCTCACATAACAAATTAATTACTTCAAGGTTCATTAACAGCTGAACTAAACTGCATTGACAACACAATACAATCAGTTGTTAATGCAGTTTAGTTCAGTTATAAATGAATCTTACAGTAATTAATTTTTTTATATGAGACTTGATTGTAATTCTTCCTTTTTTTAAATTCGATGAAAAAGTCTCATTATTCACAACATGATATAAGAATTTAGTGTGCAATTTACATTCAATATTAATATTAATATTGACATGATTTATAGTGGTTAATTATGGAGTAATGAGCATCATGCATCTTAAACTATTGTATAATACC